AATTCATCATCTTATAAAAATCATGTTTAAGGCTAGAATATCATGTAAATTTCAGTCCTTTCAATCACATATTTCTATAGTGGTTCATTTATATATTGTATATACAATATTGTATATTGTAACCAAAATGTTCAACCTAGTTTGTCATATATTATTTCACTTTTTGTGTCTCATATTTCAGCAAAAGTTTATACGTATTAGCAATAACATTTTCATCACTACCATGTTTTTCCTAAAATAAGACAGGGTCTTATTTTCTTTTGACCCCCGAAATAAGCACTTGGCCTTATTTCGGGAGGTCCTATTATTTTTGAGGTGCAGGAGGTGGCAAGCATGGTCACCTCATAGCTGCTCCTGTGTTGCAATATTTTTTTGGGGGGAGGGCTTATTTTAATGCATGTGTTCAAAAGCCCGATTGGGCTTATTATCCAGGGAGGTCTTATTTTCAGGGAGGTAGGGAAGTATATAATTCTATTTCAAATTAATCTTGCTTTGTCCAAAAGCATAAAATCTTTTATTCTTAAAACTTTATATTAATTGTTCATAGAAAAAACAATTAATAATGATATCCTTCTATTATCAAATCTTTTCTTTTTCATTTTACAATCTTTTGAGAAAATTCTAGTACATTTTGGAAAATTAACCTTTTGTGTTTACTTACTTCTCAAGTGGTTTATTTACTTCATTGCAGTATAAAGAACAGTAATTTTCATTCCAAAAATGCCATTGCAGAGCAAACTTTATCGTTTTCATACACTGATTCCACAAATACAAGCCTGACTAGAAGTACTTATTAGCACTGCTGGAGAAAATGTACTGTAGAATCAAACAGGATTATTTATTTATTTTGTACTCCTGTTTTTCATGTTTGTTTGTAAAATATATTCCTCTAGACATGCTCTCAACATCTGAAAAAGTTTTGGATCAATGTTTCAATAAATTTTTGCTCTTATGCCAGCAAGATGGAGAAGGAGCCCAGGTCCATCTGTCTTTTGCAGCTGTTCTACTGCTTCCTATCAAGCTATTACCTGTCTTCTGAAGATTTGGGACAATGTAGAGCAGCAATCTCCAACCTTTCTAATTTGCGACCTGGTGTGTGTGGGGGGGAGACACACGTACAAGTGGCAGGTGCATACACAGCTTCATTTATGCAAGCAGCGGGCACAATTGTATAAGTGGAGCTTCGTGTGTGAACAGAGGGTATTTGTGCTTGCATACAAAGTTCTACTTGTGAAAGGAGGGGACCTTGTGCTTGCTCCGGCCCTATGAAGTGATCTCCCCATAGAGATCCGGACCCTCACTATTCTTCCGGCCTTCCGTAAAGCTACTAAGACCTGGCTGTTCCGACAGGCCTGGGACTGTTGATCAGCATCCAGCCCCATTTTAAGTGGTATGTATGTTGTGTAATTTTAAATAATTGTATTTCTATTTTTAATTTTTTTATTCTCTTATTGTCTGTAAGCCGCCCAGAGTCCCCTGGGAGTGGGCGGCATACAAATGCTAATAAACTTCCAAACTTCCAAACTCCACTTGCACAAATGAATCTTTGCGCACAAGCACAAGTGCCCTCTGTTCAACCGAGTGGATCTTCACATGCCTGCCTGCCCACCACTTGTGCAAATGTAGAAGATTGCAGGAGGAAAAGTGAAATGAACATCAATGATCTCCTGCCTCATTCTGTAAATGGAAACACTCTCCTGAATCAAAATAAATCTTCTTATTTTTAATTCATTCTTATTATGAAGTAAAGAAAAAAATAGTCCTCATTGTTAGCAACTTACACTGAAATTGAAACAGGAACATTATCTTCCTTTTTTTGCAGAATTAATTCTATTTATAAAGCCTGTCTGGGTTTTTTCCCCCCTAGAGTCAGGAACTATTTATCAGTTGCAGTAATTTATTCTTTATGGTAATGTTTAATTTTTGAGATATAAAAAACATCTGCCCTTAATTTTGCTAATTTTACATTTCAAATTGAAACCTTAGGGCACTCCTAAAAATATACCTGCCATTCAATAATATTTCACTTATTGTAGATAACAGAACAGATGGTTAACACATTAATACACCTTTCCTGTGCTTAGCTTAGTGAAGAGCTCTTTTTGAAGGTTAAATTATAATTAATAAATTTACTAATCAAGTGGTCCAAAACTTGTTATCTTACTATTTGACATTTTAGTAGCCTGCTCCCAAGCTGATTGGCAATTAGAGTGAGCTGAAAATGATAATAAAAAGCACTTAATATCTATCAACTGCGCAAAGAACAATGATGAAAATTCACACAGAAGATAAACTGTCCCTTATTAAAATTTAAATGAGAATGTAAGTGCTCTGAACTAATATGGAAAACTTTGCATCAAAAATATAATTTGTTTTAAGAATTAATACACTAAAGCTTCTTAATCACATTAATTTCTTATGTCACTTTTGAAGTAATTATGTAAAGTTTGAAGGAGTTGTGCACAGAATGGTACTGATAAGGTATTTACAGAACAATTTAATTTAGAGTAAGGTGATTTAATATAAGTAATTTAGTTTAGATTATTATTAGAACAGTCGAGTTTAGTTTAATATTAAATATGTTAAGTTTACTAATAAGTAAACAACCATATTTAGTATATGATATTACTAAGGATTTATTCATTAGTGCTATTAGTCACATATGCCTTATATACAGTAAAACTTAATTGAGTTCTATAGATTCAATTTTCTGGACACTAGATGAATTTTATATGAAATGCCTTCTGACAGACAAATATTGTTTAAGTATAAGATGTCACTTATTTGTAGAAGTTAAACTTTGTTAACAATAAATAGACATGTTCTTATTACTGTTTATATCAAGTAGGAAATCAAATTGCTTTATTGTTCCTATTCTGTTTCTTTATATTTTACTTTTTTTCTTAAAATGTTCAGTGGATCTGTGATATGAAATAAGGAAATTATTCATAATAATTAATCAAACTGAAAAACTACAAATTGCACTTCACCAGACACAGACTGGGAATTTCAATGTTCAGAATTGAAACACGAATAGTTTCAGCAGCACTGTATCCATACAACTTGATAGAATAACAATTTTTTTAAAGACTTCTTGAAAATCAGGAAAAAAGTGATGTGAATATCATGGAAGGAACTATTCCAGAGAAGGAAGACAATAACTGGAAATACATGCTTTTATTTTTTTACATAGCCCAATGAATTTTGAGACTATACTAGGTATTTCTGAGCAGGTTAAACTTGCTAATTTCTGACTACATTATTGAAGAAATATTCTAGGTTAAATTATCATTTTAAAATATTTTGTTGTTTTCTTTTTATAATTAGCTATCATTTGCAAGTATAGTTCACTTTTAAGTAGAAAGCCTATTGATTTCAGACAGAAAATCATAGGGCTTCGTAGACAAAAGTATTTTCATAGTTTTGGTGGTTTTCTAGTGGTTGCAAATTTTTGTGGTAAATTTCAGGAAAAGATGAGAAGCCCCCTTGCCCCAAATCTTACCAAATCAAAAAATTTGAACATAAGGAATTTTAACTTGGAGATTTCAAGTATTTAGCTGGGGGAGATTTTGTTAACTGTCCCCAATCATAATACTTCTAGTAATAAATCAATGCAACTGCCACAGCTTTATGAGCTGTAGAATAGGAAAGGAAGCAGTGTGTCAAAGGTAAAAATGTAAAATAAAAATTGTTTTGGAAAAAAAATAGGTTTGGTTGAAGTATACAAAATGCAGAAGCCACACAAAGGTCTTAAGACATTTTTGCCTTTCATGAGAGAAAAAAAAGTGTTGTCTCTAGAAACATGATTGATGAAGTATAATGAAATCTTAACCATATCAAAATAGACCTGTTGATCATTCATATTCTTTCATCTTTCTTTCTACATGGAAAAACAAGCAAATTAGTATGCTTTTTGTTTTCTTTGGGAAAAATGTTAACTGCCATAGTACTCTTATCACAATAATGTTCGGAGATAGTTTTGATCACATGAATGTAATCCTTCCTTCTTTTAGAAAATTCACCAAATTTCCCAATTCTAATCTGCGTATGTCCATAGTACTTTATATAGTCTACCAACCATCAATATTCTCCATATGAACATTTTCAGATGTCCACAGGGAGGAGATAGAGGCTAATATCCCTGAGAGTTATCCCTAAGGTATTTGTCCTATGGTTAGGGTTTATACATGTGGTTATATTTATTATGTCCATTGAGCTGTCTTTGCTTTAAGTAAAAGTAAAACACAGTGCATAAGACCATAAATAAGAAAGAAAGAAAGAAAGAAAGAAAGAAAGAAAGAAAGAAAGAAAGAAAGAAAGAAGATAAAATAACATACAAAAAATAGAAAGGCAGAAAAAGAAATAGTTAAAGAATATAGGAAAGAGAAAAGATGAATAATTCTCCTTCATCTTTGGAATGTTCACATTGATACTGAAGCAAGAAGGCAATTAATGTTTGAATTTACATTCATTGGAAAGAAAGGAATTGCAAGAGACTAAATAGGATGGGGAAAAGACATTGAAAATAATGTTCTGACATTAGAGCCATAAGCACACTGTACAAAAAGTTCCATGTATTTTTTATTATATGCCTGCTTACTTTCTTATGATCTCTTTCTTCCTATTATCTGTCTATATGGGGGGTGGGGACAACGACAATAGGTTAGACCCAGGATTGTAAAGGTAATCATGAGATTGAGGAGTGCTACAAAGATCATAAATGCAGACATTAGTCATAAAGTTATTTTTTTAGCACCATCATAGCTTTGAATGAAACAGTTAGTAAATAAAGACCATTTGAGCTTCAAGATTTTCCCAAAGGCACTTGGAAATAGTGCCTAAAAGCACGTTTCCAACCTACAGAAAAAAATCATTCTCAAAACAGCAGAAACCATCCAAAATTCTTAACATTCAACACTCTGCTTCAAAAATGGTTCTTGCATATTAATATATAATAAAATTACAGTCATTAAATATTGTCAAAATCATTTTTTAAACAGGTGACACTGGAGAAGGAGAATAATAATAATGACTACTTTCTTTTGACTCCCAGCAGCATGTCAGGTATGTAAATTGTTTATAAGGTATCTGTCTATATTTTGCCAGCTTATTTAAAATTTTATTCATATATGCTACAATGCTTATGGTATATATGTTATGTGATATTTATTTGCCTCGTTTTTTAAGGATTCATATAAAAAAGTAGTGTAAGACTGAACAACAGTTTTTACTAAATAAATATTGATCTACCTGTCAGTGTGCGTGATGGTGTATCATCATTCTATCTATCATCTATCTTAGAGATGTGCATTATTTTTCTTTGTATACATTTTTAACATTCATCAGCAAACATCCTGAAATTTAATGTGTTATTGATATTTCTATTTATGTGTTTTTCTCTAATTGGTAAGAGATTCTGGTGGCTCCAATTCATACCAAGATTGCATGTTGTAAAACCCTAATTATCTGCCCTCTCATTTTTCTCCATAAAATAAAATATTTAAAAATTGTAGACTTATAATTCCGAAGGCTAAATACATAATAATATATGTATATCTAAGCAATAACTTATTATTATGATTGTTAAAATTGAACTTAAGTCTAAGTGTTAGCTTAAGTTAAACAGTGATATAAAGCCAACAGAAGTCAAGGGTGAACTTGGGCCCCTCACATTTAACTCCATTTCATCCTTCACAAAGCAATATCAGGATCTGAGTAAGCAAAGAAAACCCTTCTTGGATCTTGCTTTTCTGGTTGTGCTTGTGAAATAAGCAGGCACAGTGCAAACTTCTACAATCACGTAGAACAAACCCTAATAAGAAAAAGAATCTTTTGTCTAAGATAAATAATGGCATTAAATACTAAGAGTAATAGATCTGTTAGACATTTGAAGTAAAATATTGCCTATAAACTGAATAACTGTCCTTGAAAAAAGCTATTAAAGGATTGATGAACTGTTAATTCAAAACTTTGTACCAATATTGAATAAAGATGTGGTCCTTTGATTCTGAATGTTCATCTGAACAAGAATAAAGACGCCTTAGAAATTTCCTCTAGGCATTCTTCAGAGACAACTAAATTTGGCTAATATCTTTTTTTTAAAATGTAGATTATAAGTTAAAAATAGGATAATTACTTAACCTGCTCAATAGGAAATTATTTGAAGGAAGAAGTAATACTGCCAGCTTTGAGTGAACAGTATTGCCCCTCCTCTTTAACAAGGCATTGCTGAACCTCTCAGTTGTAGATAACTTTCAGCCAGTTTTCAGCCTTTCCTTTTTTTTTACATTTTTTACATAATATTTCAATCAGATTTTTGTGTGTGTGGGAGTTCTGGAAAAAAAGTAGCTGAATGGCAATGTGAGATTTATAAAGGTAATGGATTATAAAAAGTCATTTCAGCTGGGTTTTAGACTGGGATATAAAATGGAGGCAGCACTAGATATACTTGTTGATGAAGTTTGATGGAGCTGGGATAAGTTTGCTGAATCCATTCTTGTGCTCCTTGGTCTTTCAATGACTTTTGATATCATCAGCTGCACTATCCCTCTGGACCAGCTGCAAAGGCTGAAAGTGGGAAGTTCCACATTCATTGATTTGCCTTTTTGCTAAGTGCTTGATTTCAGGCAATGTTGATGGCAGAGATTTCACCCACAGCGCCTAATTTATGGGGAACCTTGGGATTTGACATGCTTTTCCCTCCTACTTAATGTCTGCATTTCTGCATTATCTGAGTGAGATAATGTAGCTGATGATATTCAACTTTATATCTTGATGTCAGACTGTACAGGTGAACCTATCAGTGTATTGATCTGGAGAATATTTACAATACAATACAATACAATAGCAGAGTTGGAAGGGACCTTGGAGGTCTTCTAGTCCAGCCCCCTTCCTAGGCAGGAAACCCTATACCATTTCAGACAAATGGCTATCCAACATCTTCTTAAAGACTTCCAGTGTTGGGGCATTCACAACTTCTGAAGGCAAGCTGTCCCACTGATTAATTGTGTTAACTATCAGGAAATTTCTCCTCAGTTCTAAGTTGCTTCTCTCCTTGATTAGTTTCTACCCATTGATTCTTGTTCTGCCTTCAGATGCTTTGGAGAATAGTTGACCCCTTCATAGACTCATAGATATTGGAATGCTGCTATCGTCACCACTAGTCCTTTTCATTAAACTAGACATACCCAGTTCCTACAACCATTCTTCATATGTTTTAGCCTCCAGTTCCCTAATCATCTTTGTTGCTCTTCTCTGCACTCTTTCTAGAGTCTCCACATATTTTCTACATCGTGTCAAGCAAAACTGAATGCAGTATTCCAAGTGTGGCCTTACCAATGCATTATAAAGTGGTATTAACATTTATCATGATCTTGATTCTATCCCTCTGTTTATGCAGCCTAGAACTGTGTTGGCTTTTTTGGCAACTGCTGCATGCTGCTGGCTCATATTTAAATGGTTGTCCACTAGGACTCCAAGATCCCACTCACAGTTACTACTATTGAGCAAGGTACCACCTATACTGTACTTGTGCATTTCGTTTTTCTTGACTAAATGTAGAACCTTACTCTTTTCACCATNATAAATAAATAAATAAATAAATAAATAAATGGAAGAAGAAAAGGAAAAAGCAAACACAAGGAATAGACTCAAAGCTCCCCTGGGTCTGTTTCTGCCGTCAGTTTTCTGTATTTTTTAAAGCATCTGAAATAAGTCACTACTGTGCAGTTCATGTACTTCCTAATTTCGGGTGTGTAGGCATTATATTGGCATCAAAATAGTTTGCACTTGGCTTTGGTTGCAGTTGTGGTATTTGTCAAAATGCTGTCATTAAGATTAGCAAGGAGAATTGCGTGTGGCACATATGTGATGCACATTGGCAATGTAGTGTACTCTTTACATGAAAATGTCAAATAACCAAAGATACGATGAGTGACCAGTCAATAGCTATGGATTCTTATAGTGATAACCACATTATGAGGAAGATTGCTGTTTGGAATAGAAATAAATGCTCTTAATTATTTATTCTATTTCCAGAATTAATAAAGCATATTAGAAAGCCTTCACATAGAAGTATTTAACCCTTATTGTCACCTAAATAATTTGCACTGATACAATATCACTTATTGATTAATTAGTGTAAATAATAATATTTTAGATAAACTAATTACACTTTAAAATAATTCTTGTAAGTAACATTTCAAGTCTAAAACTACAAAACAACTGTATATTTAATTAGAATATTCATTTTCACAATTTGGTCCAGTTATTTAGTAGCATCTAATTGTACCTTGTCTTACAAATAGTGCTGAAATATGTTCTGAACCAGTCTAAATTTACAAGATTTTAATAGTTAATTAAATAGTGCATTTAGAGTGGGTATTAGTTTTTTTTTAACAAGGATTTTAGAATGAAGACTTGGAATATCCCATAGTAACAAATCAATAGTTAAACATATTAAAGAATATTACACATGGTATAATCTTAAAATGAGATAAATTCATGACAGTGCCACTTCAGATTTGCAATTTTAAATCGATTATATATGTTTGTTCTCTGCTTTTGAACTGGATCTCTATTGTAATGGAAATGTGGCAATGGAAATGTAATGGAAATCAATATCACACCATGTGGTCATAATGCTCTGTTTAAAAATGAAGCTGTATTCTCTATATTAAATACCATGTTTGCATTTATTTCTTTCCTTTTTCTTATTTCAGTTTTTCCCTTTTTTTTGTTTTCTTTTTATTTCTATATATTAAAGTAAAATTTAAAAATGTACATGAATTCAACAAAAATCTTGTCCCCCAAAAGATTATCTTGTGCATTTATAAAACCAAAAGAAAAGAAAAGAAATAAATAGATCTGAATGAATGGTGTAAGTTTCTGGAGTAGAGTTGATTAATGTGTGCATGGAAGTGCCTAGGATATTTGTGGAATTATACTAATAAAATGCTTTGTGGAATGACAAAGTAAAAAGTGCTTATAAATAAATCTTTTGCAAAATGTTTAGATGAAAGATATAGTACTCTATAAAGAGTAAAATATATAATAAAAGAGAGTAAAGAACAGTGTGGAATAAAAAAGCAGAGAAAATGCAGAGCAATATTGATGGCTTTTTAAAAAAAAGTTGGATAGCTGAAATAGGTTAAACAAGAAACTCACATCAAAGTAAATGGAATTAAAAATAAATTAATTGGGTGAAACTGAAGTGATGAGAATCTGTGAGAGGTATTGAGATTTATAAAGAAATGATAGAGCTATGTTGAGGATGGAAATAAAAAATGAATGAAACTAATGTTTCCAATGTTATCTTCTATGGTTTCCTAGTTTGATTTGTTCTATAATCCAAGGTATGTACAAAGTCATGTCAGGAATGTGTCAAATGAACAGATTAATACATAAGTGACTGATAATTAAAGGACATCTACCTTTTGATTAATCTTAACATCTTAACCTATTCAGTCTTTAATTTGAAGTCTTCACATTTGGGTCTGGCTGCTCATGCCTGAAAGCAATTCAAGTTTCCTAGAATCGTGTTAAAAGTATTTTGCTGTGTAAATATCAACTACTAAAGACTACCAAGACTCTTGGAATTACTGTAGCATGCAAAGCAACCAAATTCTCCCAAAATATGTTAAACAAACCCAAAGAAACAGTAACCAAAGAAATAAAATGAATAGATCTACATCAACAGTGTAAAGGCAGGAAGTGACACCAGATAGGAAACTAAGAACATATCTATCAAGTGGCAATTAGGAGACAAAAAATACTTAATTTCTGAACACTGACAAAAACAATCAGAATTTGATCTTGAAAAATTGTTGACATTTTACATCAAATGCAAACCTGCTAGGGAATTCCTTGAGTTTGGCATTCTGGCAAATCAGTCATCAGCAGATACACAGAGATAAGTTCAATCTACATACTATTTAAAAGAAATAATCAAAAGTCGAGGAATGAACAGTCCAATACATCATCTCCAGCATCCAACAATCAGCTAAGAGCCAAGGTGGCGCAGTGGTTAAATGCAGCACTGCAGGCTACTGCTAGATCAGCAGTTC